CCCCTCTTTGCATCTTAAAAGACTTTCAGATGCAGCTCCTTTGTCTGTGCCCCTCTAATGACCAGCCCTATTGCAGGAAAAGGAGGATAAACTTTGCCAAGGGAATATTCTAGCCAGGGAGAGAGAGGACAAAGCAGGAGAATGGAATCCTGTGGACCCAATCCTGAGCCCCCACCCCAGGTCCTGGAAAAGAACATTCTGGAGAGAAAGAGCAGAGAGAGGGTAGAATCCTGGGGGGTTCCTCTGGGATGGTTCCCCTTCAAGACCCCTCCATTCGAAGACACCAGCCACATGTTTACTTAAGGATTATTAACTCTTTTTATATTTTGGCACCCTAACTTGCCTAGAATATTCTGACAGTTTCCATAAAAACATAAGTAAATAAATACATTTTTCTATGCAGAGAAAATTATTTAAATTTACACTAATAATCTATTTTCCATGCAAATTAGAAATATAAGAAAACATGCTCTAATAGCACCAAAGAAAAGCAAAAATTTTCTAGTCCATTAGCAAAATTTTGCTTGCAAATGTTTATTTTTGTCACTAATATAAGAGAAGTACAACACTGCTTAACAAATAAAACTTTCCACAAAAATGAGTAACAAATTCCTATTTTAGTGTCCATTAAAACATCTTTCCAGAGAAAAATAAGCAGAGCAGAAATGTACGCACAATGGCAAAATCTATTTTAGAAAAGTCACTTCAGTTTATTTCACTAAGGGGTTGGACAGCTCAAGTTGGATTTTAATCTGTATCCCACAGAATGTTTGGTACACAATGGACACTAAATAAATATTTGTTGTCAAAAATATATACAAATCTAACCTTGTAGTTCTCAAGTCAAAGTGTTGTTCCCATAAGTATGCAGTAACTTACTTTCACCAAACATGAGCTACAAAGTGATACATTCTAAAGCGTTACTTCAAATCTTAACAAAATGTAATAAAAATCAACTTAAAATATTCCCCCCAAATGGTATCACAGTATGTCCTGTTTTCCCTCAGAAATGTTGTCTTCGTACTAAAAAACATTCCTTGCAGGACACTTATTGATATAATATGTATCACCAAGCGAATAGGTGGTAACAGTCTAAATGTTAATAACGCCCTGCTCTGAATTTGTAATGAGGCAGTGTTTTACATGCCCTGACCTAAGTTAGGTCAAAGTAAAGCACCAGGAAGCAGTTGCTGTTTCATTTTTGTTTTGTACCTTCTACGGGTGACTGGTTTTCTTTTGAGAGTTACCTCATTCCTCCCGTGGGGCCTGATCTTCCCCAGAAGAGGTAAGATAAGGAGAAGTTGGAGAAGAAGCTAATTTTTAAGCCTTTGCTGAGTATCAAGCCAAGGCAGGAGAGAAATTAAATGATGCCAGTTCTGTGTAGGGGGTGGAATCTGCACATTCAGAGGCCCCAACCAAAGCATGCTGAAATCTAATGTTGTCTGACTTTCCGATACAAACTCGATAGGAGAAAACTCAGTTTTCTAGTAGTGATTCACCTAATGAAGGCAGAAAATCATGGAAAGCTCGACCTCCCCTCCCCCAATGAATGGGTTCCTTTGAGGAGACAGGTGACCCACCTGCCATTCACAGGATTATAACCCCGGGGGGACATCTCCAGCCTTCCATTCAGCAGCAAATTATTAAATTTCTGCTTTCATCAGGCAACATGCCATATTTGTGGGGAAAAAGAGAATTTTATTTTCTCTCAAGGAGCTCATGATCACTGTGGTAGCTTCCAGTCACAGCCCATGGCTACAAAATAATTAGCATCCCCACTTACCTGAGAGCCATTCCCAAGAGCATGACGTTCTGACCCGGTCACCCTCAACCAAGGCTTCATGCTGAAATGTAAAAATTTAAGGAAAGAAGTAAGAAAAAGGGTCCTGCATCTTTAAAAATAATAAGGCAGGATTTGGGGGATGTAAATCCATTTTTTTGAAAATTTATTTCTTTAATAATATTAGTGCAATGTGGTCTTTTCTATGATCATAAGAAATTCATACTTATTCTTGTGAATAAAGTAATAAAATTTACTAATTGGCAATGAACCAATTTAAAAATATCATTGCAATGTCTCAAACTCATTTTCCTTTCTGATGAATCTGATACAGTTTAGTCTGAGGACAAACCATACACAGAATTTTATGCCAGTTTTTAAAGTGAGTTATTCAGTCCTGGTTCTAGTTGGAAATTTTGGCAATGCCTGTAATCATTAATGATCTATAAAATTATTGATTTTTTTCTGTTTGTTTTATACTCTGTTCTCCTCTAGGTATATAAAAATGGGCACCCTCACGAATGTGGATATTCATATAAAAATCGTTCTGTAAATGTGATTACCAAATAGTGTCTTCTTTAGGAATTGTATTAGATCACAAGATATCCATTTTTAATTTAGCCCTTTGAAGACGGTAGCCCATGCCTGACTTTAAAGTACGTCATAAGTGGCCTCCTCCCCTTCACTGTACCATAGAAACCAACACACGAGTAAAGGGATTATTAGCAAAAATATGGATTCATAAGCAGAAAAAAAAGTTGTGGTAAACAAAAGCCAGCGATTGCCCAATAATGAATTCCTTGTTCAGTGCCTGATACTCCACCAGATGACCATTAAGTTTGGCTCCTAATAAATATCTTAAATTCAAAATTCCAATCTACTCATGGCCTCTAAAACCAGGCTCCTGCGGTGACTAGCAGAAGCACCACAGAGGCAAGGGGAGAAGTGAAGGGAGAAGGGGAAAGTGGGACCCCTTAAGGACATACCTTCTAGAAGAAACTGGAAGGAAACTCTGCTTTCTTTTTCATTCCCTTTTCAGCATGAAGTCCTCCTCCCAGAGCACCCCATTCAAGAAGTACAGTGTAGGCTCATAGAATACACCTGTGCAGGTGTTAAAAAGGCTTTGGTGGGCAGCCTGGGGACCTCAAAACTCTTATAGTATCAGTTAAATGAAAAAGCTTGCTCTGGGTTCAAAATCATTTAAATACAGCAACCTTGCAGAGCACCTACTCTGAGTCAGATACCCTGGTAAATACTGTCTTACAAAGATGAATGAGATACTGCTTTTGTTCCCAAGCAGTCCACAACTCACCCACCAACCTGGGGTGGGGTTTTGTAATAATCACTTCATGAGTGGGGGTCGGGGTGTATAGGTAGTAAAAGCCACATTTGGGACCAGATTCACTAAGCACCACAGTTTACCAAAATTTTCATCCTGCTCCATCCCCAAACTCAGTGTTTAGTAGAAAGTGTTAAATCATGCTCCTATTAGATTTTGTTCCAAAACATGATGTAATTTTCTAGGAATGTGGCAAATGCATATTACTTCTTAATGGAACAATGAGCCTTGTTAAGACGTTACAACATAGATACAAAAAATTAAATCGTATTGAGAAAACAGTTAAAAAACTTATATCTTAGAAACTTTTCAGAACTAACAATACAACAGCATAACAAGAAAAAAGAGAGTTTTGGCTTAACGGTTAATCAGAAAACTCAATTAACCAGAAACTCCATTTCCCGAGTCTTCCGTTGTGAATGTTTTTAATTGCACAAGCTATGAAGTCACACTGTTACAAACCCTGATTCAGCTACTTCCTAGCTGTGTGGCTAGATGATTTAATCTCTCCGTGCCTTGGTTTCCTCATTTGTAAAATGCAGGTGATCATAGTATCCAAACGTGTAAAATGGTTCCAACAGCTCCTGGTACCTAGGAAGGGTTCCGTCAGGGTTAACTAGCATTATCACCGTTATTATTACTAGATTGCCTAGATGTGCAGATAAGTTTATGGAATTAATCCCCTGGCAGTCAAATCAATGCATGCTGTGTCTCTCCAAATGCACTCAGTATTTCCTAGAAGAAATGAGGTGTTGGGAGAGAGAGCCAGACAAAATGATCGTGGCAGCTTAGAAATGTCAAGAGAAATTCAATGAGTCTCTCTCCGAATATTTGTGAAAGCAAAAAGAAACAGAAACCAACCAAGCATGGAAACAGTAACAACAAGAGATGTCAGGGCTTACTGCTCCCTATCCATCCTCTTGGACTCTTATACACACAAAGGTGTTAACGTGGGAATGAAAACCAGGGGAGTTCTTCGATTCCTTGGAACATTGAGACTGAGTGATGACTGGCCTTTTCCTCCTTGAGACTCCTTATATAACATCGAGTACTGAAGGACTCAAATGTGGTAGAAAAGAAAAATGGGATTTTATAGGACGAGAGTTTGTTCCTAAAAATCTCGGTTCCCCCGAGCCTGCCATGTACCTGCTGGGAAGTGTCCGTGGAGTACATTAGAGTCACTTCCCTTTGTATGCACAGCATATTAATGCGATAGACTCGAGATAGATAGATAGTGCTATTATTCAGGTTAAATCCCACAGTTCAGAAGGAGAGTGTCAGCATGGGCTTATCCTCTCATGATTCACATATCTGTCTCCTAAGGACCTTCCTGGACCCTTTGTCAATAACTCCCGCACCCTCCTTCTCTTCCAGTTAGTCCTGGATGAGCACGGGTAAGGAGTCAGTGTAGACATACTTTTATAGCAAAGAGTAAAATTCCACCAACTGAATCACAGTGTAGGGGAGAGCCCAAACCAGTCTGAGCCAGCTTCTCTGCATGCCAGTCTGTCCATCTGCAGCCACTGCCATTCATTTCGAAAGTGGGGGGAACACAAGGAGCTTGTGGCTCTCGAATGACTTCCACCGCTGTGCTGAGAACCTTGTAAATGTTCCAGCAATGGAACCCAGGCCAATAGTTTTGGGTTCACAGTAATTGCATACGTTTTATTTATGATCCTCCCTAGCAGTATGCACCTGTTACCTAAAGCGATGGAGCAGGCCCCAGTCGTAGGTCTGGTTCTCCACCTGGGCCTCCCGCACGAGACTTAGCACCTCCTGTGGCCTCTGCTCTGTCACTTTGCCTTGCGATTCTAATGTAGTTTGACTTGAATAACATAAAATAACATATATAATGTTATTTATGTTATTTTCCACGTGAAGAACTCCTGTAAACCTTGCCGTTTTGAAACTCAGTGAGGCAGGCGTCTTAGACAAGCTGAAAAACAAGTGGTGGTACGATAAAGGTGAATGTGGACCCAAGGACTCCGGAAGCAAGGTTAGTCGTCACACTCCGGGGCCTCGTCCTGTGCTCACAGGGCCCGCGAGCGGTTGTCACTGGGCGCCGACCCACTCACCCGCCTTCTCAGAAAATTGCAGCCCGCGTCCCCACTGCTCAGGCTTGGGTTACAACTCAAATTAACTGCAGAAGCACATACACTAATAAAATTCCTTCTGTGACCCTCAGACTCACGTACCACTAGAGCAAGTAGCGCTTCTTGGTTAGGGTTGCGTTTGTTTCAGAGGCGAAGGCCACGAAACCCATTATTTCAGGAGCCGATGCCTTCTCAAAACAGAAGTGGGGAATTGTCTGGTAGCCATCCAGAGAAGGATCTTAAATATTCACCCTGTGGCATTCAGAAGTTCAGTCTTTTGTCACTACGTTGCCAAGCATTCCACTTTAGTTTGAAGAAGCCTGGTTATAGTTTTGTGCTGACGGATACACAGTGGACTTTCCGATTCAGTTCTACCGAAATGCTCTTAGTAGATCAGCATTTACGGATAATATCTCAAGTTAAGATCTCTCGTTTGTGAATTCTTGGTGCAATGCAGAGATCTAGAGACCTGATTCCACTGAGTACAAATAAAAAGGGTTACAAACAGTTATGTTTCCATTCTAAAGGAAAAAATGTAACAATGTATCAGTGAATCTAATTACCTGTGCAAATTCATAGAATGTAACGAGTGCCCGAAAGGAGTTGAGGATTCCTGAAATCTTCTATTTTTTTCTTTATCTTCTTTAAAAGAAAAAAATATTAGTTATTCTAAGACATGAAACAAATAAATGACTTAAATAGGAGAGTCTCCATTCGTCTAAGGACGAGACCAAGTAATGTCACTTGATACCTTTTTTGGGCTTATCCCTTCGTTTTAATCAGTTTTTTCCTGCCTTTGAACCAGAGTGGAATGAGACAAGCTTGGCCAAATAATGAAATACTTATCTCAAATCCCTATGTCAAGCCAGAGAAGCATAAATATTTAATGAGCGATGATTTTAAAAATGAAGTGACCCTAAATTTTGGCCCCATCAGCTAATGTCATGGCTTATTGGACAGTGTACATAGTACATCTTTTGAATTCAATACGCTGCTAATAAAACTAAGTGGCTGGATCACATTTTGCCCAAAACCTACAGCTGGGAAGATGATGGCCACAGGGCATCCTACAGGGAGTCTATCCAAAATACTCTCTCAAATCATGTTATGTAATATACGTATTTCCAATTTATGAAAAAATTCTGAAGTCTTGTTACAAAGATAGTATTTTTCAATCATATGCTTGACTATTTCCAAATTTATTATGAGATAATATGTATGCTAAAGCTCTGGAGAATAATATGTCTAAACTATTAACTGATTAAGTATTTTTAACTGGGAGTGGAATCTTATTTTTAATCAGTAAAAATAGTCATAAATTTGTCCATATGAAAATAATTTATGTCTCAATTAACCATGGTAATTTGTATATTTTTAAGTTATTTTTTAAAAGTTACCTAAATGCGATGCATACATAATTATTCCTAAATAGTATATAATATGTAAAAGTGACACTTTCTAGAAGATCTCCCATACACCTATGACTGAAAGAACAAATAATGTGTACCCTAGCACATTATTTACATATATTTGGTAAAGCAACAGTGAAGAAAATGTGAAACTGTTAGCTAAAAAAACAAACAAAAAGAAAAAACCAACAACGAAACTTAGTTCCTTAAGTAGGAAATGTGAAGTGAGATTTATACAAGAGAAATTTCAAACATTAAAAGTATGTGGAATAGCAGGAAAACCAAAAGACATCCCCTTCCCGTGTAATTGGGTTTTAAATATGCCATTTTCAAACTTAAATAATAAGCCCACTTCTGCCACCCTGTGTAAATATATAAACACTTTTATATGGCTAGGTACAGTGGTTTTCACTGCATATTTAATAATGATAAAATGTTACAAATTGTATTGAATGTAATTACACACAGTTTTATTGGTAATCATCATAATTTCACTTCTCCTGAGAGTTGTAAGCTTTATGCTTAAATCCATAAACCTCCATCAGTGATTTATACATGTAAATAATTTCAGGTTACATTAAGCATTTGCTTTAATTGGCTGTTTGGATTTCGTGTGTTCTTTTGCCTTGTGGATGTGACATTTCCGCAGTTGACTGAAATGCCTTTATCTCCCCCAGGACAAGACGAGCGCCTTGAGCCTGAGCAACGTGGCAGGCGTCTTCTACATTCTGGTCGGCGGCCTGGGCTTGGCAATGCTGGTGGCTTTGATAGAGTTCTGTTACAAGTCCAGGGCAGAGGCGAAGAGAATGAAGGTGGCAAAGAGTGCACAGACTTTTAACCCAACTTCCTCGCAGAATACCCAGAATTTAGCAACCTATAGAGAAGGTTACAACGTATATGGAACCGAAAGTATTAAAATTTAGGGGTAGGACTTAGGGCTTACTACAGTGAGTGGGTGATGCATCCTGTAATTGCAGTGTTGTGACCTGTCTGTCCAGTGGTGACGTTGCTTGCTTCTCGTTAGAGCTTTTATATTTTTGAAAAACTTCAGTGCAAAGTGGTTCGGTTTTCTTTGGCTGCGGATGCACTGTTCGAAACTTTATGTTGCCAATAGATATCTGCATTGAAAGGGTCAGAAAGACAAAATCAAACCCCCAGGATTGCTCTGCAAAATGATCTGAATAGTATATCCTACTCGAAATTTGGGAGAAAAAGGAAATTAGTTCTGGGTTTCCTTGTCCATGTAGTAGGCTAATCTACTTGGAACAATCCAATTTTAGGAGAACTGCTCACAAAATCAGCATAAAACCTTTCAAGCGATCAAAGCTTAGACGGTTGCCTATTTTGATATGATCATGTATTTTCTGAGAACCAACTCCAAGCACATAGTAAGGGCTTGGAGAATTTTAGCTCCTCTTCTGTTTCACATTAACCATCGTTCTATATTTTTTTTAAGAACCAAACCCTGCTGTTTGCTCATCTGACAGTACCTTGAGCCAGGCCTTTAGGGAGGAGTGATTGTCAGAATATTGACTCCAGTTCATATTTATTTAGATGAATTTCAACTTTCACCCTCACAGTATCACTAAGGTGGATATGCATTTTAGGCAAGACAGCAGTTTCCCCATCAAAGATGTCAGCAATGCATGTGTTCTCCAGGGGGACACAGGAAAAGATAAAAATTGCAGTGAATTATTATAGCCTTTTTTTTTTCCATTTCAATTGTTTTTAAGTGGGCCAGAGCAGCCCCACTTACTCACATCCTCCCACTGTGTCACAATAAAACATTGTAAATATTCAGTGAAATGTAGGAAATGGAGATAATTTTTTAAGAATCTAAGTATCCACTACTTTTATTCCTCAAATGATAGAAAGTGGTTTTAATATAAGATCTGAAAGCATTTGTTACTGCTTTTCCTAAAATCAGGTCTCTAAGACCCATTTTCTAAAATTATATATAATAGTCAACTGAATGGGCTGCTCACTCTGATGACAATGATAAATGAGGCTTTGAACCCACAGAGACATTCAGTGCTTGATGTACCCGAGAGTCAAAAACCCAATATAATTTTCGTAAGATGTACATCTGAGGTTATGCCAGGTAAATAATGCTTGTTTTTGATATTTGTAGTTATAAAAGCTATCGAAACACTTTGTTAATGTCTTAAAAGAACAAAAGTCATTCCCTTTTACAAAGATCTAGTTGCTTCTATCCATAATCTAGAAATCAATGGATTACTGAGTGTAACTATACATAGATAAGCCCCACATGGTTCTTTCCCAATTTTGTGTAAAAGAATTAAGAACAAGACCCTCCAGTTCACTCAGATCAGAATGTTTTGAGCATGTCTTCTGATAGCAAAACAACAAACAAGGAAACTTTCAAGGTCTCTTGACCATTATACAAATGCTGTTATCTTAATAATTATACAGTTGAGAAGAGATTTTCTCAAATTGAGAAAAACAATACGTGACAGGTTTTCAGAGTTAATTATTTGAATTTTATTCTGGAATGAATTTTATGTCTTAAAAAAGGGGGGGCTTTTTTGTTTTGGTTTGGTTTTTCTTTTTTTGTTTTTTTGTTTTTGTTTTTTCTTACAAGTCATTAAAACTGATTTTTCTTTGGCAAAGCAAAAGCATTCCAACCATCAGCAAGGTCCAAGGGTAAGGTTTCAAAGAAAAAAAGATTATTAGAAAATTCTAGAAACAAACACTCATGGATGCCAGTTCATGACCAAAATCTGGGAAGTTGCTAAAGAGATATAAATTCCCAGGTTATGTACATACAGTTTACATGTAATAATGTTTTTGGAGTCAGAACCTGGCATTACAACGTATCACATGAATTGCCTCTACAGTTGGGGTTAAACTTCTAAGACCATAAATTTCAAATAAAATACAAAGCATTCCTATCCATGACTTTGAAAAAGACTTAATGGCATTCAGGGTAAATGAAATGATTTGCACGTAAGAAGACTTGACAACTGTTATTGTACTCTCATGCGAGATGGCTTTTTCCTTTCAAAAACTCTGTTGGCCACAGTTACCCAAATTTTTGATAATCTAAATAATATTGTCCTAGAATGCCAAAAACAAAACCTCAAACCTTCAATATAGAGAATATTTACTCTAAAAATGGTTACCCCTCACGAGAACACGTATAGTTAAGGTCATAGCCTTTAGCCTCAACAATCTAAACAGACCCAGACCACGTGTAAGTTTATAAGAATTTGAGCAGCCTCAATGGATTCACTACAAAGCTGAATAGAAATGACATTTTAGGGAAGAAGCAGGAGATACAAGTATAAGAAATAATAATGCTAAGAATGAAGAATGCTAAGATTTAAAGAGAAAATAGGAGCTGTCAAAGATTTATTCACTATTACACTCAGTTGCATTCATCTACAGAGAAGGAAAGATTACTTGAGAGCACATGGTTCCTGTTTGGGGTATTTTCCTTCGCAAAGGCAATCAAGAAAAGAAAGGAAACACAAATTTTATAGCAAGAGCCTTCTGGAAAAAAAAATCCCTTCCAAAAATTACAGTGGTTGTATTAATTATATTTCTTCTTCTTCAAAAAAAAAACTAAACCCAGTAGGTTTTAAAAAATAATTATCTATTTTACTTAATATTAAATGTTGAAAGTGAATCTGAGGAAACAAATTCAAACTTTGGTCCTGGTTCATTTATTTTAGTGATGAGTAGTTCTGTAGAGATTGCATCCTGATTTGTAATTTTTTTGAGACTATTCGCTAAAGAAAAACTATGATAATGACCTTGGTTTTTATCATAGATAAGTCATTAACTAGCAGTTTGACTTTATCAGGGTATCTGATCTCTAAACCTTTACATTATACCATTTTCTACTCCTATCACTAATTTCATTATTTAATATAGAGTGACTCTAATACTTAAGTTCCCTTAAGAACAGAGCAGAATAAATATAGGGATGGAATTCCTAAAGAATTAGGTAAACTTAAATTCGCCACAGGGAATTAAGATATATTTTGAGTTATATATCATTTGAGAAATAAATGATCTATGCCATAACAGACTTAGGCAATATCTCATTTGTCTTATTTTCCTCTTGAGTTAACATTAAAATTCAGTTACTAGAAAAAAATGTGAAGCCAAATGAACCAGCAGTAATTAGATTTACATAAAAACACTGCCTGTCTCTCTTCTGTGTAATACTGTTATCTGCTCCTGACTTAACCTGACAGAGAACAGGAATTTAACGAGGATTTCGGAGACCTGACCCCTAACATCTCAGTCTGGGAGGTTCCCCAGCAGTGAGGAATTGAAACATATTCCCTTTCAGTGCACCCCCCCTCCGAAAATATCAGTCAGCTTCCAGAGTAGGCCTGTCACTAACTGTGCTGTTCTGGGTCATGTCTACCCCTGGTGTGAATGAATGAAGGTGTCTGTGGATAGATCTGTGTTCCGAAGGCTGGAAGATCTGTCGTGAATAGTCCGCGGTTTGTTTAGACAACTCATCACAGTTTTGAGGATAACGCCCGCGCTGTGAAGACATTTACTGGCAAGAGCAAGAGGCTCAATCAAAAATGTCCACCTAGAGGAGAATTTTAAGCTGTCCCAGAAGTACCAGGGTGTAGAGGACCACAAGGCGAAGGCTGTGTCCCGCCCAGACTTGCCAAACAAAACCTAGTGTGATGATTTCCAAATTAGTTCTGAAACAGGTAGGACCACAAACTCCCGTCCGATTTCTTCTTCGCTATAGTTGAGCTTTCCTTTCCCATAATGTGCAGTTTTCACACGACCAAAAGAATATTGGAAAAAATGCAGATGTCTAATTATTGATATCTTGGTGTTTGTTGTGTCGCCTTTTGTCGCAGAAGCAGAAACATTGTAACAGTCCACACTCTTTCTGTTTCCTTTCCATGCACCCAGCTGACCTTTTCTGAAGCCATAAGAAACAAAGCCAGATTATCCATCACTGGGAGTGTAGGTGAGAACGGCCGCGTTTTGACGCCCGACTGCCCCAAGGCTGTACACACGGGAACGACAATTAGACAAAGTTCAGGATTGGCTGTCATTGCATCGGACCTACCATAAAAACCAAAAACATAATTGAGTGCCTTAATCAAACTGTGTTGGTGACCGACGGGAGCGCGGCCCGGGGCGCGCCAAGCAGATGCCCTGGACCAGGCCTCTGGCCAGAGCGGGCAGTGCGTCCTGACGCTCCCCGTTCCGCAGCAGCAACGCGTGCATGAGCTCAGCTCGGAAACCCAAACTCAGATTTTCTATCAGGAAAACTCACAATTTAGGTTTTTTCGGGGAGCGGGAGGGTGGGGGGGGAGCTGGGATGGGCGTATTAACAGCAACAAATTTCACTCGAGTGGACTTAAAAACTAATCAGACTTGCGAGTTAGCGCATCAGACTGTGAAGTTCTTGCTCGGAAAGGCCTGTCTTCACCGCAAGGGATAAACTAGTTAGAGAAGTCAGTGAACATGCTAACGTGCGTCTCCAGAACACCCACGTGGTCCGTGGGAGACTCTCCAGCGAGAAAACACAGCACGAAACTGTGATCGGAAAATAATCAACACTCATGTAAATTCTGTGAAAAAATTTAAAGGAAGTATTTACACTTACTTTGGAGAAAACAAATACTGAAACATGCTTGCTTTTTAACTGATGTAAATTCAGTAGAGGACAACACAATTCTTTTTTCTAACCATCTTAGGGAACAATACATTGCAATAATTGATATAAATGCCATCACTGTAATAAACTTTAGAGACTTTTTTTTTTTATAAAAGTCGTTGGTCATCTCCTTGTTGCAGTAACCTCCGCTCTGTCACATAGTCGGTGTCCCCAGATCGCATTTGTCTCACTACCCGGAACACAAACACAAACAAAGACAGCGTTACCGTGAAATCATCAGTCTGCGATGTAGAATCAAAAGAGACTACGGGTCACTCATGGTATCAATCTTATTTATAATCTTGTTCTGTGTACAAAATTGTGGTTTTTGTACCCACCAAAAGAATAAAACAGCGGACATTCGTACAATATCTACAGAGCTTAAAGTTTGTTTTTATCATTAATAAAAGTTACTTGAGAAATTATAAGACTATGTAGGAGGGATTATAGAAGTCAAGTGTGGGCCATATTGGAACATGTAGCTAGCTCTTATTATTTCTGCATAATAAGCTTACCCACTTTTACAGGTGTTTGCCTTGTGAGCAGGTGAAATTGTCACAGATGGCGTGTTTGAATTGGGGAACGATCCGTTGTCATTAACAGCAACATACCCTGTAATCGCGTGTTGAAATTTTACTTGACTGTATTTTGCTGCATAAAATAATGTGTCTCTTGGGTTTCTCCCCGCCCCCAGTCCCCTTGTTCCATTTAAATCACTTGAAGGCACGAACAGTAATTTGTGGTAGACCAAAAAAAAAAAAAAAAAAGAATTTGTCCTTGTTTTTTTAACAGGAAATGGTGACGAAAATTACACCCGTGTTTATTTCCCAAACCCACCTTCTGTTACGTGTGGATTAAATTCACATGGTTCAAAGGAAGGTTTGGATCCTTTGAAATATAAATGAGTACTAGAGTGCCGCTAGCCATCACACTGTGTAGCGATCTCGGCAGAAAGCACAAGTTAGGATGATTTGGGAAGTGTGGCCTTGAAGGACGAGTTCCATTTCCACAGGTGGAGAAGCCGTGGAGCGCCTTAGGGGCGAGCCAGGGTCCGGCGCGGTGCGTGTCCGGAGATTGTCGGAGGCGGGCCTGCCACATCCCGGAAGATAAAGCTGGAGAAGGTGAAGGACCCACCAGCTTGCTTCCATCTGGAGATTTCCATCCCCCCGCCGCGATCTCTGCACTACACTAAAGAGCCACCTCTAAAAGTGCAGGTCCCATGACACACTCACACACACAGTCCCCTCAGGAAAAGGCCCAAGCTCTGAAGCAGAGCAAATGAGTCCCTCCATGACCGGGTCCCTACTTCTCCCTCCCGTGACGTCTGTCCCGGACCCAGCCTCCCCCACCCGCCCGCACACCTCCACAGTCGCACACGGGACATGGCATTTACTCTTTCCTTGGGCTGTCATTTTCTCCTGTCTCTTTTCCCTAACTTGGGCTCATCCTTCAGTACCAAATCGAACCATACCTGCCCTAGTAAGGTTCCCATGCCAACCCGCCGGCCCGCTGCCCCCGAGACCGAGTTAGAGTCCCTTTTCATGTCTTCTCCCCGTCACGGCATTTGCCACATACCGCATTGTACTTGCCTGTGTATTTGTCTGTATAACGTCAGACTGTAAGCTCCTTGAGGGCAGGGATGTGTCTCTCTCGTTCACAGTTGTATCCCCAGCATCCAGCACAGTGCCTGGCATATTGTAGGTGCTTAATAAATATTTGTTGAATGAATGAATGAATTGAATCGAATTAATTTAATTAAGTGGAAGCAGAAAGACAGTATCTTTCCTCATTAACAGTCCCTAGCGTGTGTGTTAAGTAAATAGCAGGTCAGAACGAAGGCTGGGGGCACCTGGGTGGCTCGGTTGGGCGACCGACTCTTGATTTCGGCTCAGGTCGTGATGTCAGGGTCGTGAGATTGAGCCCCACATCAGGCTCTGTGCTGGGCGTGGAGTCTGCTTGATACTCTCCCTCCCTCTCCCTCCACCCCTCCCCCCCACTAAAAGAAAAAAAGAAAAAGGCTGAAGGATGGCTGATTTCATGATGTTGTCCATCTCCCCAGAAGAAGTGTGGCTAAAAAACAAAACAAGATGACCTGACAAATTTTCTGATCAGAGGAGACGTTATTCCATGTAATTGTACCTAGCTGTGGAATGATTTGTTTAGCTAGAGAAATTGTCTTAAGGTAATGAAATAACCCAAATCAGGGTCCTGGCTTTGTTTTTACCCATTCTTCTAAAGATCTCTTTCATTTAAGTCTCGGAGTGGGTAAGTGATGAGAAGGTAAAAAGTTATATTTCTCATAGTTTAATTTCTTCTTTTTGTGTTGTGTTTTCTTTCTGTATTAGTATCATATAGTTAAGTTTCTATATTTCTCATGGAATAATTCTGCCAAAACCAAAATGTTAAATCTGCCATCAGTACAAAGGGATACCCTATCTGGTCTCCAATCTGAGGAAATGCTACAAAGCTAGGTAATGTGATTTTAAAACATTTATGTTTAAATTAAGTTAAAAAAAACATTTAGTTCCATAAAGAACTCAATTGTCAAGCAAGCAAGATGACCATCTAGTGCAGAATTTCCTGAATATATCAGGCAAAACCACTTTTGAAGTTACATCAGCTGCTTAAATGTATACAATGACCACATTTGAAAGCTGTAAAGGACCCTTAGGAGAACCACTTTGTTACACTCAATTCAATAGCTACTAATTAAAAATGCCAACCGCCCCCCACCCCCCTTCCAGTGCTAACTTTGGGCTTGTTCCATGCTGCGCCCTGGTGTCCACACCTGCTGTCAACTCATTTATCCATTCCCCCAGGGCATAGCACACAGTAGGTATAAAATACATATTTGTCAATGCATAAACACAACTTCAGATATTACATCAGTATCCATGAAAAAAGCATGCTCTACTAATTTCCCCAGAAAACAGAATATCCCATTTTTCAACACCGATGAAGTGCAGCTACAAATAAGCATTAAATGAAAGTGACATCGGGGGAGTTTCTGAAGAGACAAATCAGAATGGTGTGGATTCATTTGTCTTCTTAGCATGAGGCTGCACGAAAAGTGTGCCTTCTCAAGCACGTTCGTAAGCAGCTTTTAATGTCAGACGGCGCGCCAGGCTAGCGTGCTTAGCATTTGTCGGACCCAATGCATGTGTGACAGGTGGCATGCTTACAGAGTTCCTAACAGCTAATACCAGCAGTCTTGTCAAAAGAGGACTGTATTTCTTTATGAAAAGATGTTGATCCATTAGAAAGAGCAAAAGATGAAATTTGGAAATTATACCTCAAAAAAAAACAAAGAAACAGGAAACTAAATTATTTCCCATGAAATAGAATAACCTGTTTATTTATCTTGCTTTTATTTTATTGTCTTCAGAGGGAGTGGCAGGCGGGCAGGGGGATGAGGGAAAATAAAAGATAAGGCAAAGGAGACATTAAGATAGCAGAAAGCTGGCAAAAGTCCAGTAGTACAGCCCTGGGTGGTCCAAAGAACTCAGGAGAACGGGGCTGTTTGACAAATGATTTTCCACTGTTAGGTATGTAATGAATGTCTGATAAAGTCCTCTTCCCACGACCTGCTTACAAATTTTCCTACGAGCCCCAGGCTGGTATCTGTGGTCAGATTAAAGGGAGTCAAGGAGAAAATTCTAAGTCCCATATTTGGGTTGATGCTAGGCCAGAAATAACCCTAATAACACGTCTCCTTCCCACAGAAATGGGCAGAAATTGAGATTGAGACTTGTCCCTCCGCATGGCAAAGAGTGAAGTCTTGTTCAATTTTTTCTGGATCTGGAGAAGATGGTAGGTGTGAGAGGACCTCTACGATACATACATAAATAAATATTCTATTAAATTATAATGCCTAAGTCATGGCACCCGTGAGGGGGTGACTTAGGAGGTTTGGAATCCTGGAATCCTGAATGCAACATGAGCCTGCTCAAATAGATTATCATGACTTCCTTTTCGGTGTCTTTTCATTGGACCAACACTTCTAAAGTTCCTAAATATTTAGCGATGGATACAAACTGTGTAGAGACTTATTCCTCTAGCAGAATAGGTCTATAGTCACGGCAGGCAATCAGAGTTTCAGTATATGACTGAATGAACTGATTGGCTAAATGAACAAAGGACTGCGAGAAGACCCTCGAAAGAAATGGCCTCTACAGAAACCCGTGTCAGCTACTCAGAGCGAGTTCCCCAGCGTAAACGTGAATGCCCTCAACATCTTGTAACAAAGAAGGGATTTGGAACAATTTCAGCCGTAGCTGGCTTCTCCTCAAGATTGACCTAATCCTTCGGTCACCTAAAATTGATGCTTTTCAGACTTCTAAAGAGTTGAAATTGACGAGATCCAACCGCCTGAGACTTTCCCAGAGCCAGGATTCCCACCGGTACTCTGTCTGTAAATCTAAGCACAGTTCAAGCCTGATGGCGCCATTAATCTTCCAACACCACCGTCAGAGCAGGTGGCTTCTGGATCCTGGGCCTGACCTGCCCAGGAGCTCTGAGGCTTGGCCCACTAAGCCTCCATCCACGGCATCCTTGGTCACAGCCTCACAGGGAAATCGTCCCTCTCTCGTGCCACACCCCCTTCAGTACACTCCCGTGCTTCTCATCCTTCTCCCATCATCTTCCCACTGCCTCCCTTTCTCCCTAACCTTGACGCCATTTTCCCTAGTGCCCTCACTACAAAGTAAGGAAACTCCCAGCATCCTCGAGCTGTCCCCCAGGGCACGGTCCAGTTCCCTGATGTCATCCTTCCACATACCACCAACTTGGAAGGGAAAGGAATGGCTATCCTGGTAGTTACACCTCTGCCCCCAAACATATAAACCCCTCTTCTTTGTTGTATATGTCATCCGCCAGGCTGTCAAATGGATCATCCATTGTCCATTGTGTCTGCTGAATTCTCGGCCAGTGTTCCACATTCAACGATTGTGGCGTTTGGCTCATTCTTGCACTGCACCCCAAGTTCTAGTAACATCTTGAGTGACTTCAAGGATGTACCAAGGAAATACTTCATTGAAGCCCCAGCCCCGCAGTTCCTTAACTTCCCATCAGTCTCTGCCTGTGGGATTAAACTCACCCACACCAGCAGACATGTAGCTGATCTTGTGATCATCCACCGGCTCATCTTACTCCAGATGATGACTGACTTCCCTCCTTCCTTTCATACCCTGGCCACTGAAAAGAGAGACCTTTCACCCCATCTTTAACTCCTGTATTTGGTCCCATCACTTCACCAAAATGTCCATCCCAAGGTCACCAATAAACCTCATGTGGCCATATTAACTGGACATTTTTAATGGGGAACTGAACCAACTGATCTCTTCATTCTTTAGTTTCCCCCCTAACTCTCTGTTTATTCTTTCTCCATATGTTTTATGTTCCCCATTTCCTCCAACCAAATTGCTGACACCACCCAGGGTTGTATCCTCTGCCTTTTCTCATCTCATAGCACATACTCCACCTGGTTGATCTGACCACCGTCAAGATGGCTACAACCACCATGCACTGTTCACTCAGAAATCTTTATTTTTTGCTCCAGTCCCACCTACCCAATTTCATACGGGTCATTTCTTTTTGACTTCTCAGTGGAAACATGGCCAATTCCTCATCTTCTACTCTACATCCCTACCTCCTCTTAAATTCCCTGTCTCAGTGAGGGGCACTATCATCTACCTAATCTCACAAATTAAAGAATGGCTGTCATTCTACAAGGCCCTTTCTGCATCATTCTCACATCCAGCAAATCAACATCTTAAATATCTTTTATCTCCTAAATATCTTCCTACTGCATCCTGTGCCCTTCATCTATACTAGACCAACATTTCAGAGACTCGTGATTTCTCACTGTTGTTCCCACAGTGGTCTCCTGATAGGTCCCCTTTCTTCTTGTCCCGCTGGTATCTCCTTCTAATCCATTCTCCACAGGGCTGCGAGGGTTGTTTTCCTAAACCACACATCTGATGCTGTCACCTTCCTGACTAAAATAACTCAGAGTGTGTTATAGGATACCCGTCAATATTTCCAGTAGCTTTTCTCACTTTCCAC